TTTTCTGGGCGGACGAGACAATAAATTTTAATATCATAAAGTATACGAATTTCAAAGAGATCTCGGGTAGGTAACTCGAATTGAAATACTTATTCATCAGCTTTACTCGTACAATGGGACACAATGGGTTCATTTTTTTTTCGGGGGCGTATACGTAATGTGTGTGAGGCTGTCATTAATGCTTTTTGTGTTCGGCTCTCAATGCCACTTACCGCATCGAAATGGCCTGATAAATATTCGCCGACGCCCCAGCGCTATTAATCACAATTATTGTCAGGCAGTCTGCCTGCTGGGGATCCCAGCCGTATACTCGTTCTGGCCGGAGAACCGGGTCACAGTTGCTGTTGTTATCCCCTATACCAGGGACATGACAAATTGCGCCTTGCTCCCAAAGTAGGTTACATAGCTTCCCGCCTCCTGGTTGCGCCTCTTGCTCTGCCCAACCCCCTTCTAAATGCCTCTCTAATTGCTAACGGGTCCATTGTTTTTGCTTCTTCCCCTAAATACGTATGCAAGGGTAAAATGCTCATTTCGCAACGAGTGGGTCACATGTAATTGCCGGCATGGATGATACGGAAAGGCTGCCTGGCTGAGTGCCCCGGAACAATCAATAATGCTAACTACCGAAGGCCAAATTACAAACTCTGCGATTTGTAATCCAAAGTGCTCTCCGTTCAGCCTATGTCAGGGAAACCGGAAAAATCTCGGGCCTTAGCCTGATGATTTATGTCTTGTTTTCTTCATTAAAATGGAACCCACCCAGGGTGGGCCAAGGCTTTATTTAGAAATTGTAAATTTAAATCAAAGAAAATGGGTAGGTCTTACAGAAAGTCAAATCTTGAATACAAATTCTATTATGTTGTAATACTTTAAGTTGAAATATACTTTCTACAAGACTTTAGTTCTTTAAACAAATTTTATTGTGTTATTTAAATCGCATTATTCTCATTTCATTCTTCATTCATTCAAATTCATTCTTTGTGTAAGGACCAGTAGCATTAGCATTAATACTTTGCGAGTATTTAAATATGGCTCTTGGCAAGGATTGGCGGAAAACAGCGGGTGACGGACGATGTTATGGCACATTAATAACTAGGAGCGGACCGTTCAGGGCTGTGTTCAAGGAAAGGGAACCCCCTTGGTTCTTCCACGGGGTGTGGCGGGCAAGTTATGCCATTAAAATGTCAAAATTTCAAGCTGCGCCACTTTTGACACGCCAAATGAAACGTGGCACGCCCACGCAGACACCTACAGGCCACGCCTCCTGCCCGCCTAACAAACACCGTCCCCATGCCAACCCCATGGAGATCCAGTTAGGGGTAGGTGAGGCTATTTAATACTAATTAGACCCAAAAACTGGTAGCCAAACTGGGTAACAACAAGGCCATGTTGCCGGCTGTGGCAACTGTGGCTCCTTTTCGCACTTCTATGCTTGTCTTTTGCTTTGTTTGTCGAAGAACTTTGTTCTCCAAAGAACTAATGGAAAAGTCAGAGGCAAATGGCTTTAATGTTCACTTTCGCCTCTGGTCCTGGTTCTGTTCCTGGTCCTGGTCCTGGTCCCCCCTTTGCAAGTAGTTTGAATGCAATTGCCAGCAAAAGTTGGGGCGATGTGACATTTCAAAAGGAACAACTTTATCGTCAGGAATTCCTTGTCACTTGAAATGCGAAAGTTGGATGGCGCGACATTGATGTTCCAATAAGATTGCTCTGGCCAAGTTTTTGAACGCGCCGGTGAACCGATAAGATTGCTTTGATTTGCGTGCAACTTTCTTAAAGTAAATCTCCTCTGAAATAGCGCTCAATTAGTAGGGCTTACATTCCGTCAGCACTTTCCGGCTCGAGTACACTAAATTCTAATGACGGCTCCGCTCCTCAGCCTTCCCCATTAAGTGATTTGGCGTGCAAAAAATGGGGCGAGTCGAAGGAGAAGAATACGAAATGGTTCAGAAGTAATGCAAAGAAATTGATATGAATGGACCGAAACTTTTCTGCAAGCTGTACACGGCAAAGCCGAAAAAAACGAGAAGAAATAAAGAAATAAATAAAGGGCAGGGAAACACTTTTTGTGCGCCAGGTGGAGAAATCCGAAGGATTCCAGTCCGGACCCTCGAAAGTGCGCAAATTAATGATTATTTGGGGCCGCTTTTCGTTTCGGGGCACAACAAAAAATAAAAATGAAGAAAAAACGAAGAGAAATCTCGGTATAATGCAATCAAAGTTGGGTTAATGCCTTGGGGGACTGAAGCTGATAACACAGAAAATTAGCAATTTGCCTTAATGTGTCTGTGATTGACCCCAGAGGAAAGTGAAATGAGTTGAGGCCCAGGAGAGAGAATCGCAAATCCCCCATGTGTCATGTGTAAAAAGAACGTCCTCTTTTTTGTATATTTTTCATCATTATTTTATTGATTCTTCTCGCCCAGCGCATTAAAAATATAAATCAAAGATCCAAGCATACACAAATATATATTCGCGTGGCTTTTAATGAGATCCGAGGCAGAGCTTCTGCTTTTCCATTCCGCTCAAGATTTGCGATATCCATTCAAGCGGAAAATGTCTGTGCTCACTTAATTTAACAAGTGCGGAAACGCGTAGCAAACAGGAAAACTCTGCCACTCGCACATACAAACGCTTCTCCCTTCTCATGAAACGGAAACGCCGAGAGGAAAATGAGTGAGCTGTGGCAGTTATCCGAAGCTGGAGACACTCTTGACGAATCAGAAAATGCTTAAACCGATTCATGATTAAAACAAAGAATATATATTAACATACAGAAATGATCATTTGTAAGAACCAAAGCATATATGCCTGGAAATATGCTTTTAATTATGAGATGAAAAGCTTCCTGTAAACTTATACAGCCTTTGCAATCTTAATCTACACAAATAATAATTTACTTAAAGCATATTCATCGACTATTTATCAAAACCTTAAAACCCCTTAGTAGGGAATGTGAACAACGAGCTGAAATTTAAGTTTGAAATGATTTCTGGCCAACGATTCAAGTGGTGAAAGTACTCGAAATTCTCGCAGTTTTTTCATTTAACGATTGCAGCATCCTCCTTCACATCCTGAATTCAGCGAGTCCTGCGGATGGAGAATTGCGGTTGCTGTACTCGAAAATGTCTTGTAATTCCAGCAGCTACCAGTGGGGGAGTGTATCTGTGGGGATTTCCGACTGGCTGTGTATACGTTTAATTATTGTAATGCTCACTCTGCCGGATTAAGCCGCTCCGTCATACATATCCACTTGGTTTTGAGTGATGGCCTTGTTTTCAATCAATTATGTGCCAAAACAACTTATTATGATTATACTGGCGAGCCTTCCGGTTGGTGGCATTTCCTCAGAAGGACAACAAAATCAATGCGAAGGTGGCTGCCTTCGAATTTCCTGGAAACCAAAAGCAAAAAATAAAAGGTATTGTATGGGGCTCCTTTGGTATTGTGGTGTCATAAGAAGTCTTAGGGTGGCTCAAACGAAAGCTCACAACCTTCCACTGACACAATTTCGCAGATACAGAGCCCCGAAAGTCAACGAAGTTGTCTTCACATGAATAAATTATGCCAAAGAAAACAGACAAGTACAAATAAGAGTTTTAGGAACAGAAAAAACGAAACCAAGACCCAGTCAGTTCCAGCAAAGCGGTAAAGTAAATACTACGGAAAACCGCCAGGAAAACCATGAGCTTAGGTGCTGCATTAAATTGATTTTGGATCACTTAAAGTTCTGGCAGCGCAATCCCCAGAACAATACTCAGATATTAATTGATGTGGGAATTGAAGCGCATGAAATAAAATATAAAAATCATACCTGTGCTTGTTTTGTCTGCCCCCCCAGCCTTCTCCACCTGTGTCTCCTTGGGGCGCAAACAAAATCAAACTTTTTGAGTCACTCGAGTCAAAAGAAAACCAATTTCGAGCATGTTCAAAAACTACTTGAGTATACAAACCTTGGCGCTTCGATGGCCTCGGACCCAGACCCATTCTCGGTCTCAGACTCGGACTCGGATGCGGACGCGGACTTGAGATTGGGATTGGGTCCGGATTCCGGGGCTCGGGTTTCGGGTCTCTCAATGTCTTGGTATTGGCATCGCCTTGTTCTGGCCGGGCTCTCCATTGTCACATTTCTATTATGTGTTTGGGCCCGGTTGCCAGCGGCCATTGTTGCCTGGTAAATATCCATTTATTTGCCGGCCTGTGTGTGTGAACATTTCAATTTCCTAAAGGACCTGCAAGCCATGGCCGTCCCAGAGTTAGAGCCACATCAAAATAGCCGCCGGCTAGCTTTAAGCATTCCATTAAGGCCAGAGACAAGGCAAAATGTACTAGAACATGTATATGTTTTTATACCCTTTACAGGGTATCACAGTTTTAGTCAGGAGCTTGTAAGTCATGAAGGAGTGATTTCCGACCCTATAAATCATATATATTCTTGATCAGAATCAGCAGCCAAATCGATCTAGCCATGTCCGGTCGAAAAATAAATTTTCGAAATTTTGCCCAAATTTTGAAATTTTTATAAGGGGTTACATCATTAAAATTGTCAAAAATTAATAAAAAATTTAATTTTTTTAAATGCTAAGTTGAGTATGCAGATTTGTTAACCTAATAAAAACAAACAAAAAAACGGTTTCCGAATTTAAATTAATGCATTTTTGGCTTAGTTATGAATTTTTAAAACTTTAAAGAATGCGATTATTGAAAGATTTAATACTGCAGCGATTATCTTCTAATTAAATTGAAAACTGCAGGGGATCTAAACTTCGGCTTCCCGAAGTTAGTTTCCTTTCTTGTTTTTCCCCGGCATCCTTTTGACCTGGCCCAGTGCCAGGCTGTAGACAAAGGCCAAGGCGATGCAAAACCGCAAAAGGAATGTTGGCCACAAAATTAAAAAAATATTATGTGGCAGAAGGGTTGGCCACAAATGATACACATCCCCTCGTTCTGTTAATCCTACCCTGACATTATTTTTAATATTTTTTCTTAATATCTACTTGCAGTGCGATGTTTTCGACGAGATTGATCTATCGGACCTCTGCTATTTCGAGTGCGGCATCAAGAACGTAAACCATAGTTTCCAGGTGAGTTGGAGCGGGAAATGAAATACGTCCCAGTCATAATTAAACAATGCAAAGCCATAAAAATTTAATGTGAAAAGTTTGCCCTTGCTAACTTTGCTGGGCTAAATGCTTTATTTACCGCCGGGAATGTGCCTTGCCATCGTTCTAATTAGTTTGCCCGTCTGGATGGCTGGCTGCTGGCTGTGCTTTGCCCATCTGCTTGGGCCAAGTTATTACCTATTAATTTGGCAAACTTCTAATAACAATTTGAAGACATCTGCCTGGCCTCCGAATATATTTGCGGGACGTGTGATGTGACGGCGGCTGCGAAGAGTAAATAAAACTCGACACGGCTTTGATATCCTGAAGACAGATAAATAAGCCACCAAAGCAGGAACTTCCTGTTTGTCATTGTCTGGCATATATGCACAACACAAGCGGGTCTCGTTTCCATTCTCCTTGATTTTCACACAGGGCCAAGCCAAAAAGGGGCAACCAGAAGGCAAAAGCCAAACGGAAAACAAAAGAAATCGAAGCAAAATGTTTACTTCCAACGCGGGCTGCATGCCAAATTAGCATAAGTAGGCAAACTTCTGCCAGTTTGGCTGCCAACATTTTCTCCTTTATACACGAATGCGCAACATTCGATGCGGGAAATTAGAGCATTTATATGAGATCTTTCGCAGAAGGACTTCTTAGGACCGGAGCTTGTTGCTCAGTCGCGTGAGCTGCCGCCTGGCCAACAATAAAAATCCCTATATACTTATATCTTATATATATTTATAATATAAATAATAAATTTTACGGGAGCTCGAGCACGGGAAATTGCCAAAAGGCAAGCCCTACTTTCTCTCTCTCTCAGACTTTTCCTCTTCACTTTTTTCCTGAAAATGTTATTAGCGAAGGCGGTGCCCATCATCGTTTTTATTGTCTTTTATCAGTTGAGTTTCCACGGCTCTTGGCGTGATTCCAAAGTGCCCTCAAGCCCATATATGTATGTATCTACGTCGTGTATAAAAAAGGTGCTGCCTGAGAGAATGAAAGGAGGTGGTATATCCTTATTTTGGGGGTTGAAAGTGGCGAAAATCTTAAAGCTACTGGAACCCTCCAGGTAGCCGCAAAGCTCCGCTTTATATTTCCCTAAATAAACTGTGGCTCAGCGCCATGTCAGCAGAACTAAAGCGATAAGTGTTTTTTTCCCCCGCTTTATTTGACAAAATATAAATTCAATTTGATATGAACAAGGACCGCCCACGGAGCGAAAGTCCTGTCAATGGCACTGCACTGCGAGTCCTCGCCAAACCCATCAACAATGTCAGCGACACTATAAACCGCACACAAAAGCGAATACTCGTTGCAGTCGTCAGTGTCACGAAAACATAACGACAAATAAACCAATGAGTGGAATATTCAATAAAAAAAGCGAAGGGAACACAAAAACGAGTTCGTTGCAAAAACCAATTTCCCGTGAAAAGACCATAAAAGTTTTCAATCCATCTTGATGCACTTAAGTGCAAAGAGATCAGGTTAGGCGCGGCCAGACAGGGTGAGAAATGTGTACACAGTTGGGGCAGGAAAAATAGCACATGCAACTCCTAAATATCTAAAAATACTGCCATTTAATTTATTTGATTTATTCACAATTAATATCCTGAAAGTTCATTTAACAATATGAAATATTCCAAGCTTAAATCAAAGATAAATCTACATGAAGATTAAAGGAGTTCCTCTAATTGTGGCATGACTCAAAACACATTTTATATCAGATTAGGTTGTCTTTTGTATTTTATAATTCCTACTTCTTAAGCTGCCAACCATAGGTATTCCTACCTTACTTCTCTCAAAGTGTCAGCCCTTTAAATTGGTGTTTGGCATTTAGGGCACGTAAGCGGCAACTTAACTGGCGGCCACGTGCCTCGAAACTTTTCCACTTTTTAGATACAAATAAACAATGACAGAAAAGGTTTAGCAGGGCTTTTGTGCAGCAGTAAGCGGTAAGCGCATTGTTGGCCAATTCCCGAGGCAGAGCGTTTTTGAGGCTTAAACCGATTGTGGATGTAAGTACTCGTGTTGTTTACAACTTGCATTGGCAGGGCTTAAGCGTTTGCAAAAAAAAAAAGAAGCAATGTGATCCTGCAACGGGGCGTATGAGTAATGTGGGAGTCTCATAACGCCAAGCAAACCAGCTGATGTTCCATATCCCATTTTATTTTATATTGTATAACCAAAAAACTTAGTCTCAGGCGGCATTCTGAATAACTTTTGCTCTTTCAATCATCCATCTTGAAGATATTGTTTAGGCAAAATGAAATGGGCTCAGCTGGCTCCATTGTGTTCGCTGGCTCAGCTATTGTGTGACTTTATCAAAGAGAAACCTATTACCATGGCATTATCCAATCACAGATTTCAATTATAAACTTTATGAATTGCATAAGCGCTTGAAAGGGGGCCAGCCAAGCACTTGTGGGGACCTAATTATCGCCATCATTCTTGGACAAGGACACCGAACTATTCGAATGTCGTCAACAAAGGGCAATCAGACGTGACAGCAATAATTTGCATACTTCGCTTAGCGAGCAATTTTCAAGTACCCCAACCGAAGGAAACCAAACCCAAGCCCAGAGAAACTTTGCCAGAATTTGTAATAGCAATCAAGTTGATTGATTGCCTTCGCCACACACATCGTTCGCAGGAGGGAAAATGAAGCTGCGGCATCAATTATGCAAGCCGAAGCTCGACTTTGCTTAATTTCGCACCCTGCCCCCAGCACCACGCGGCGTATGCGTAATGCGCAATACAGGCGAGCCCCAGTACCCTTTCCCCTTTTGCTTTTCTGGAAAATGAACTGCCAGTCATCGAGTCAGCTTCTCAGACTCTCGAGTTGCGTTTGAAAAATACGCAATAGCCCCTGCTTATCCCAGAACTTAATTGATATCCAAGAGCAACAAGAACAGTCAGCAAAGTTATTCCCCAGCGTCAAATATTTTCATAATTGAGTATGCCCCCCCCCCCATTGGACCGTTTTGTTGTTCTTTGGCAAATATCAACGAAGTCGGAGGACTCAACAATTGTCTAATTGTTTGATTAAATTTAGCACTGATTGGATGCTGACTTTAAAGCCATAAGGTCAAAAGTTGTGTGCAACTGTCAACATGGCAAATGTAATGCGTCGCTCCCAAAGAAAATTAAACAAGTCAGCAGAAATTTATTTGGCATTTTCTGCGGTTAATTACGGTTTGACATTCGGAGCTGTCTTCCCTTTTCTAAGCAGAGAGACTGTGTTGTGGCGACAATTCCTGGAATCTCTCTAATTAATACGTTGTATACAAAAGTATATTCGTGAGATACTTGAGTTTATATCGATACTTCGAGGTTTAAATTCATATTTCATACGCAAACGCTCGAAGAGAGAAATTCCAGTGTCGTTTATTATTCATATCAAGGCATACATTACTAAGTTAATACATGCTGGTTTCCAAGAAACGCGTTCAAAAGAAACATAAATGAAAGCACACAAAGCAGGTGGATTATTAGTTTTCCGTTTCTCGACCATCCCCGTGGGCGGTCGGGACAGTTGGAAAATAAAAATGTTTAAAAACAATCAAAACAAGTGTGGCGGGCCCCAAAAATTTACTTTGTGTCGGGCGTTAGTCCTGTTCCAGGTAATTGCAACAGGACTCCCCTCACAGGCATATCAAGGTCTGAGGTTAAGAAGCTATCCTGGCGCACGTCCTTGAACTTTAAAATTTCCTCGAGCGCCGAAACTCGTAACATTTTGAGCCATATAAACGTTAATGACAGACGACCGACGGAATAGAAAAAAACACAGAGATCTCAGACAAGGAAGCCAAATGTGATGGCAATCCAACTTTGCTGCTAGCTTTATTTGTTCCTGTTTGGGATCTTGGCTTATTCCAGGAAAAAACAAAAGCAAATAAAAGGACTCTTCATCCGGCAAAATACAAAGTTTCCCTCAAGCATACAGCACAAAAGAGATTTCCTTGCTTTGTCTCCTATTTTCTGAATTAAAAGTAATTACTATCCACTTGTTAATGCAAATGAGAGAGCCTGCAAAAGTGAAGTCAATTAACGAAGGAATAATTTTTTACATTCCCACTAAACTTAATGACTACTTCCCAGCCTAAGAACTTGTTTTCAGGGAATCGTATTTGAAATGCAAACCATTTTGGCATTGAAACATTTTAGTGAAATTAAATTTGAAAAACAGCGTAGCGCCAGGCGAAGTTTTGACTATACAATTTGGTCAAATGGCCGAAGGGAGGCTATTAATATTTCAAAAGTAATTTTCAAAGTTATCGCTCGCAGAGACGAGCCGCACTTGCTCCTGTTCTTCTTTTCAGGAATACTAAGTGCAAGACTGGGAATATACGCACATTTGTATATAATATAAACACTGAGTGTGGGCCTGGCCAAGACAGCCAAACGGTTTTGATGTGCTCGCTGGGGGACAACGCGTCGTATGCGTAATTTGGCTGTTGCTTCTGCTTCAGCTCCAGCTCCTGCTCCTGCACAAACTCCTGCTCCTGCTCCTGCTCCTGGTTCTGCTCCAGCTTCTGGTGGCTCCCTGTCATGAATATTCGGTCGCATGAGGCGTGGCAGGCGCCACTTTGGTGTTTCGCGTAATGAATTCTGTCATATGTACCCTCAAGTGGGAAAGGCACAGTGGAATGGATTCTAAGGAAATTGCTAAATTGCCAGAAATAAACAATTTTAAACTATGGCGAAGAATTGTGTTTAAAATTATTTAAGTAGTGCTGTCATATTTTTAAAATCACTTTTTATAGCCTTGAAAGGGAATTATATTTTAAATCAAAAGCTTGTAACTCATGAAGGAATCGTTTCCGACCCTATAAATCATATATATTCTTGATCAGCATTAACACCCGGATCGATCTAGCCATGTCCGGTCAAAATATAAATTTTCACAGTTTTTGTCAAAATTTGAAATTTCTATAAGGGGTTACATCATCAAAATTATCAAAAATTGGAAAATTTTTGAATATTCTAAATTCCTAAATTGAGTATGCAGATTTATTAACCTAATAAAACGTAGCATAGAAACGGTTTCCAAATTGAAATTAATGAATTTTTGGCGTAGTTATGAGATTTTTAAGGTTTGATTTGTTGATAAAATTGTCATATATGTAAAAGTATTCATAAATATTGCTTCAAAGAATGGGAAAATTTATTCGAGACACTGTCACCATATCTTAACGGTTTAGGTTTTTGTTTATTTTTGTGATTGGAGTGTGTGGCCTGGAGTATTTTGAGATGAGTCTGGGACTAAGACTAAGACTGAGACTGAATCTGCGGCTGCGTGTTCTGTCTGCTGCTGAGGGCGATATACGGCGCACAGCCAGTGAATTTAATACGATTACTTAGGTGACGCCTGTCTAAGGGCTTAATGGGTAAAATTGCCAATTGCTGAGCTGCAAACTGCTTGAAATGAAACAATTAAATTAGGGCAATTCGTCCGTGATGAGTGCACGTTGCAAAATCCACTTGAATTTAATATTTATTGCGGAGAGAGTGCAATCGATAGGCATCATTAGTTTCAGTCTTCAGTTCGGGCGGAAACAAAGGGCCATTAATTTACATATCAGAAGTCGTAAACCATTTTATTGATTTTTATGAAATATTGAATAAATTTTCGCTCTGAGCCCTGCTCGAATATTTTTCCATCAGCAGGAGGAGGTGTCCTGTGTGTTGACGGCAATCCTCGCATATTTCCAGATCCCCACAGAGAGGGACACACTCAGCGACATCTGTCTGTGCCATTTTATACCGCTGTGTGTGTCCCGCTTTTATGGCTCTCTTTCTGTTTTCGCAAATGAAAACCCACAGCGTTGGAGGAGCAAAAAATTGCAATCCCACACCTCGAAGGGGTCAACAAAGAACTAGTCCTGACCGAACAGGAATTTATTGCTCCGCAGATTGCCCTTGCCCGCTGATTGGTGGATGTTCCGAGGTGTCAGAGTGCTCTGTGGCTCATAAAAAATGTGAATAGCCAATGAAATATGAAATGGTGATTAACGCGCACATCCCTCTAAGCGATGAAGTAAGCCAGTTTAAGCTCCACATAGCTCATTAAACTGTCTTGGAATGGCTTTTTAATTGTAATTGAAGTACATTTTTCTATAATTCCCTAATGGATTCTATTAATAACTTTCCCCGCAATACGATTTCAGGGGCATTCTAGCCAAAGTGCACAAACAAATTGAGTTACTTGGGGCTCCAATGACCAAGGGCAGCGTGCATAAAAGCGCAGTTCAGGTTTCCCTCGAAAAATTCCAATGAATTTACAATTTTCCGGCGGGAAGCTGATGTCAACGGATGGCGGCTGTCAGGCAGGCGCACAAACCGGATTTGCGCTTAAAAGCAAATCCATGTTGCAAACGTCAAAGTTGGATGGGCTGAGGGAGACTCCTTCCCATACCAGTCCTCCCCTGGTTCCACCTATGTACGCGCCGAGGCACGTGCATTGGGAATCAGTTAACCAGCGCACATTAGACTAATTGGAAAAGCAGGAGGAGAAGCCCGACAGGGACTGGGGAGTGCCAACCAGATGGATGGCGATGACGATGATGATGTTGCGGTTGCGGTTACAGATTAATTGCAACATTGGATACTCACAGCACCGATACCAATTCCTTTGATTGAAAATTCTGGCCGGTTAATGCGTTTGGAATGCAATTAGTGGTCCTTACGGGAGACTAATCGATGGGAATGGGAAAGGTAAAGGCGATATGGAATGTGGAATGTAAATGTAAAGGAGGCCATGTCAGTATCGTGGCCAAGTGCTGTCGCCACTGTGGGCCAAGTTCACTTGGCCGTCACAACAGGCCCGAACATTGTGCGGTTTATGACACGAAAGTGGCCAATAATACTTCAACCTTCAACCTGCAACCTCCAACCTCAAACTCCCCACCCACAGCACCCAACTGTTGTGTCAGCTCATGACATTGGCATGTCAACTGGACATTGTCAGAGTCCTTCTCCGACCGAGCACAACTGCACTTGCATAACTTGCCCCGAGGAAGATTCTTGGTCCCAAATTGCCTGATTTATGGGAGGTCATCTGGCAGCACCCTTTTCAGTGGGGGAGAAAGTTAATTAGAAAACCTCATTAAACCTGTACGGGCATTGAAATTGATTGTGAGCAGCAAACAAAGTCATAACTTAACCGTGTCTAGACTCTGTGTCTCGTAAGATAACCTATTACATCAATTACAACTAACAATTACCAACAGACCGCAAAAATTAAAAAAAAAAATGGCAGGTAAAAAACGGAGAAAAATACTTGGAAGGACATGTGCGTCATAAATTAGGCGGGAATTAATACGGGCAGCAATGGAGCATCGCCATCATAATCCGCTAAGGTAGACCAGAAGGTCGGGTATATTAGATGTGTGTGTGTGTGTGTGTGTGTGTGTGGCATGGGTGTGTGTCTGTTGGGTGGGTTATGGCCACTTCAATGGGCTTACCGAGCGGTTTGTCCTACTTACTTGGGCTTGGGTCATGACCATAAGGGCCCACGAATGACCCCGCTGTCTGCGCATTATCGTTAACGTGAACAGCATTAGCATATTAATGAGGCCGCCTTAAATACATAATAAACCCTCATTTGATTACACAACTAATAAACAAGCCGCGTTTTCCCGCTTAGTGTGTGTTTGTGTGTTGTGCCAGTTGCGGGTTAAGTGCAAATTAGTTTGGCGAAAAATTAAGCATTCAAGGATTTGGGGGTTAGTCTTTCTCAGAATCAATAGGCATATTTTTAACAAGCAATTTCCTGACAAACGTTACTTAGTTAATAAATAACACTGCGATTCGTCCACAGATAATCACACCCACTCGATCTTTGGTGCTCTGCGCCGAGTCCCGCCGCGAAATGGAGGACTGGCTGGGCAGTTTGAAGACGGCCACGGCGCCTCAGCGTCCGCGGGGAGATAGCTTCCTGATCGAGCAGCATGATATCCTGTCGAACCACCACCATTGGTATGCCACCTCGCACGCCCGCCCCACCTACTGCAACGTGTGCCGCGATGCCCTCTCCGGCGTCACCTCGCACGGCCTGAGCTGCGAGGTGTGCAAGTGCAAGGTCCACAAGCGGTGCGCGGCCAAGTCCATTGCCAATTGCAAATGGACTACGCTGGCCAGCGTGGGCAAGGATATCATTGAGCAGGCGGATGGCATTATTATGCCACATCAGTGGATGGAGGGCAACCTGCCAGTTTCCTCGGTGTGTGCCGTGTGCAAGAAGACCTGCGGTTCGGTGCTACGGCTTCAGGACTGGCGATGCCTTTGGTGCCGAGCCACCTGCCACGTGGCCTGCCGCCCGCAGATGGCGGTGGCCTGCCCCATCGGTCCCGCCAAGCTATCCGTGGTTCCACCAACCAGCGTCCACTCCATCAGCACGGACGATGCCTGGGACGTGGCCAGTCCCAAGGGCAACTTTTCGCCCCTGTTGGTATTCGTGAACTCCAAGTCGGGCGATAACCAGGGCGTCAAGTTCCTGAGGCGCTTCAAGCAGCTGCTGAATCCAGCCCAGGTATTCGATCTCATCTCCACGGGGCCAAGCCTGGGACTGCGGCTCTTCCGGCACTTTGAAATGTTCCGCATTCTGGTCTGCTCCGGCGACGGTTCCGTGGGCTGGGTGCTCAGCGAAATTGACCGCTTCAACATGCATGTGAGTTCTGGAAATAGTTTTAAGGAACATATAATTTATTTATAAATTTTGTAATCTTTTAGAAACAATGTCAGGTGGCCGTGATGCCACTGGGAACTGGCAACGACCTGGCTAGGGTTTTGGGCTGGGGCTCCAGCTGTGACGATGATACCCACCTTCCGCAGATCCTGGAGCGGTACGAGTCGGCCAGTACCAAGATGCTGGACCGCTGGAGTATAATGGTCTTCGAAAAGGCCATTGCCGTGCCCAAGACGCCCAAGATGTCGATCACCACGGAGCAGGAGGCACTGCTCACTGGGATGGTGACTTCGGCCAATCATCACCTGCGCTTCATAGTGGAGACCAACGACACTCAGACTCTGATTAGCTCTACGCGGAATCTCTGCGACACTGTCGACGATCTGGTAGCCCGCATCTCGGAACACCACAAGGAAGACGAGCAGCTGGCGGTCAAGTGCGACATCCTGAAGCAGAAGCTAAACATGCTGCTGGACGCACTGCAGGAGGAGGAGATGGGCGCTCACAGTGGCGACGACTTGATAGCCACCATTAGGAGTCTGATTGCCAGAAGCATTCCGCTGACACCAGGAACCAGTGCATCCCTGCTGTAAGTTCTTCTTTTTAAAAATCTGTTAAATCTTTGCTAATTATAAAACATAAACGCTTTAAATTTCTTCTCTCCCATGTCCAGCAATCCAAACATATCAATCGAGAAAACCGAGAAGGACCAGATCAACTCGAAGGAGCGCAGGAACAGCCGATCCCTTCGCTCCAGCGAAAAGGAGGCGCTCCAGTGCCGTGCCAACAGCGTCAAGCGTGCCATCTACAATGTGGTGGAGCACTCTGAGCCAGGACGACCAAAGCGGTACCAACGCAAGCTCTCGATTACGCCCTTTGAGGCACTGAAGCTGCCCACCACCAATTCCGGCGAGTCGACTCCCTGCAGTTCCCCCTTGCCTATTATTCCCCCGATCAACATCATCTCGCCGACGATGGAGACCTCTCGACTCACCTGCATTTCCCCGCTGCCGGATACGCGACGTGACTCTGTGGACGAGAGCTTCTTCAACAGCATCAGTCTGCCGGCTCCGAGACAATTCGCTGATAGTCGCAGGAGCTCCGGAGTGGAGGTGATCCAGGAGATCGAGGAAGGTGCAAACGGGGAGACAGTGTACCGCAGGAGTCGCATGTCTCTGAGCGGCGGCGCCAATATCGATGATGCTGGCAATCGGTTGTCACCAAGCAGTGATGGCGGCGAGAACACGCCCACCGACCGCAAGGTGGACTTCCTTCGGGTGCCGATCCTCACCGGTGAACCGATTGTGGATCCTCTGTCCGACTACCGACCCATCGAGGTGTTCGAACGCACCTACTACATGACACGAGAGATGGATAAGGACAAGGACAAGGATAAGGACAAGGACCAGGACAAGGAGAAGGAAGTGGAGAAGGAGGACAGTATGCCCACCGAGAAGCAGGCCCTGGTACATACTTGTAACCTGCAGGTACCCGGCATTGTCGTTACCCCCAACTCCCAAAATGTATACACAAGCGCCAGTCTAACAATCATTGATACCGATGCACAGACCACCACCGTACGTGTCTCATCCTCGAAGGAGTGTTCTCTAACAAGTTCTAATGATAAACTTTGAAATACTTGTCGATCTTTTTCAGGAGCAGTCCTCCTCCGATGATTTGGGAGGTGAGGCCAGCGATGTCCTGTCAGCCATTAGCAACGAGGAGTGTAGCGTGGCCTCCGAGATATTCGATAAACAGGATGCTGGTCAGACTTTGGGAGATATTATTCAGGTTAGCATTGAGACATTCAGGAAGATATCCCTCTTTTCTTCCTTATTTTAAGATAGTCTTAATTAAACCTATCATTTTCATTACAGAACCTGGATGCCAGCAACTTTACGCACATCGATTCACCCGAGACCAGTGATGAGACAGAGGCAATGCCTGGCGAGAGCATCATGGATGATATTAGCTCGGTTCTGGGCCATGACATTACCTATGCCCTGCAGGACAGTACCCTGACCGATGACACCACCACGCTCTGCTCGGAGCACATGGGTCCTGCCAAGCCACCGCGCAAGAAGTCCCTCAACGCCCTGGGCCACTCGCATTCAGGTGTGCATCCACGCAGGCGCAACTCCTCGCCGCCGAGGATGCCTCGACTGGCACGCATGGACAGTGACGACAATCCGCAACAGTTTGGGTTCGAGAACATCGTCTTCGAGATCGACAATCGGTGCGATGACCAGAAGATGCGGGAGCCACCGCGCTACTGCAGCCTGGCGCAGTTCGTGGAAGGTAACGATATAGCGCGTCAGAGCTTTAAGGTATGTATCCCAGCCGATTGGATCGGGTAAAGTTAACCATGTACCGCCTAGTTTGTATATACATACATATATATATCGAGTGTATTTAGCGTTTGTTTTGTATGGGTGTCCAGAGTGCTGAGAAATGGCCACTTATAGTGAACTCTTTGTTGCTCTCCATTTGCTTCTTTCTTCAACTTTTCTTTGTCGACCACCAATAACCAATAACTAAAAATAAAAACTTAACCCGCCCAACTTCTAACTAACCACAATCTAAAATCTAATTGAAAAACTAACAAACAATCCTGCAATGTACAAACTCCAACGACTACTAACCAAAAATCCTGCTCCCGATGCAGCGTCCCAAAAAGCGCATCTCTTTGAAAAATTGAAAACCACTTCAACCAATGCAATCGTATCTCAACAGCAGCTAATGCTAGATCAACATCGAAGCAGCGACAACGATAACGGAAACGGAGCCGGAACCGGAAGTGGGATTAGTAACGATCCCGATAACGATAACGATGACCCCGATGCCCTGCAAACGCCGACGAATAACCCGGCCAAGCTATTGGCCACCACCAGCGAGGACGAGCTGTCCACGCAGACGGCCATTAAAATAGAAATTCAAGACGTTGATGCCACTGTGCGCAACGCGACTATCCACGGCAATAGCAACTCCATTTTGACCACGTCGACATCGCCCACCAAGAAATCGGGCCATGGACAAGATGTAAAGCGCATTACTTTTGATGAGTCGTGTAAGAAAGAATCCTTTGATGATGTAAATCCCAACTATCCACAGATAAGTGTTGTTGTGAGGCCGCCGACGCCGTTGCGCGGCGACTCCGTCAAGCCGTCGGGTGCAGGTGCCGGGGCGCTGCTGCCGGGCGGAGCCATGTCCGGCGGCGCCATGTCCATGTCAGTGTCCATGGCCTGTTCCGGTTTGCTGGGGGTGCGGGCAATGAACGCCTCCGAGATCAGGCGCCACTCGAGCCACGCCCCCGGGCTAGCTGTCCGTGAGTTCGACAAGGACAAGGATCGCCGTCACTCGGGCTTCAATCCCAACCAGCTCACGCTGGACCCGGAGCACGCGCGTTTCCTCAGCAGCTCGCCGGCAGCCAGTCGCCGGATCAGCTGCGGCAGCCTCTTCAAGGTGAGTCCTCCATGTGCAAGCCATGTCATCTTTCTGTCCGCCTTTCTACGACTCGAACTACACATGGCACATATCTTAAATAAAGTGGCACAACTAGGAATATTTTTCAATTTGATTGCACTACATAGAATTTATAAAGGATTAATAGAAAAAGAGGTTTAATTATACGACAATATTACAAAGAATATAACAACAATATTACAAAGAATATAACAGTTTTGATCAGAAACATGAAATAAAACTAGCTTCAGGAATCCGAAGTTTATTTACCTTTGCAGTTTACAATAGGATAGTATCGGAAATCAATCATAACTAAGCTTAAAATATTCACAAACTATTAATCTGCATTTATTGGTTCTGTAATGCGACAATTTTTTCGCTAAATCAAAGTTTAATAAACTCATAACTAAGCCAAAAATGCATTAATTTCAATTCGGAAAGCGTTCCTATGTTAGATTTAATAAGGCTATTAAATCTGCATACTGAATTTAGCATTTAAAGAAAATCAATTTGTTGCCAATTTTTGACAATTTTAATGATGTAACCCCTTATAAAAATTTAAAATTTGAAAAAAAATCCAGAAACTTATTTTTCAACCGGACATGGCTAGATCGATTTGGCTTTTGACTCTGATCAATAATATATATGATTTATAGGGTCGGAAATGCCTCCTTCATGAGTTACAAGCTTCAGACTGGATTATAAATACTATTATTTGAGTCAAAATTTAGACCTATTTTATATGACAATTTTATCAACAATTCGAAATTTAAAAAACTCATAACTAAGCCAAAAATGCATTAATTTTAATTCGGAAATCATTCCCATGTTAGTTTTTATTGGGCTTATAAATCTGCATACTCAATTTTAGAAATTAGAAAATCCAAATTTTGTCAATTTTTGATAATTTTAATGATGTAACCCCTTATAAAATTTGCAAATTTTGAAAAAATTTTAAAAATTTATATTTTGACCGGACTTGGCTAGATCGATCCGGCTTTTGATTCTGATCAATAATATATATGCTTTATAGGGTCGCGAACGAATATTTCACAAGTTAGAAGCTTCTAATCCACCGCGAGGGTATAAAAATATATAGCCGTTTACAGTAGTTTCGTGTAATTTTAATTTCGATTCACGGATTGCCAGAATAATATCCTTCTCACTAAATATTAGCTGCATGTTTCAGAGGGTTAGGTTAGTTGGGTTAGCCTTCCACTCATCTCTCGTCAACACATTAGGAGTAATCCAAAATTAGCAACACTTTTTGACAACTCACTCAATGAAATAAAGCGACTATAACTGGTTGTGCCACTTTAGTTGAGCGAGTGCAACATTTTCGATTCACATTGGCACCGCATCGTCGGCAGTTGCGAAGTACTTGAGTTTTGATTGTGTCAGGCGAGCAATTGGTGTCAAGTGCAAATGCAGGTGCAAGCGCAGGTGCTGAATGCACTCCTCATACAGCCACACACTAACAACAGCGACTGTAGGTAATGGTTCGTACAAGTAATGCCCAGTCAACCACCAACCAGCAGGGAGTTCTGTGAAAAAATAAACAAACTGGATTAAATTCCAGGTATTCACCCGTTTTTAGTTTGCAGTTCACGCAAAGTTTGTTTTTGTAGCGAAGCATTTTGTGCAGGCCATAACGAGCTCTGGAAAAAGTTATAAAACCTATTATTAAAATTGTTACGAATTCATTCAGTTTAAACTAATTAAAGCTTGGCAAGAACCGAGCTCAGATATGAAATATATTCAGAAAATATTCAAAAATCGTACAAAGTGTTTCTACAGTTTTTAACTATATTTATTTGCTACCTTATGCCTATTAACCTGAGTTTAGTTCTTGAGTTTAAACAACAAATTTAAACAATACAATATAAAACCGAATAGAACCTTGTATATGATTTACAAAAAGCACAAAATCAATTGGTATGTATTTCAAAATTAAGCCAAATATATGAATTTTTGATTTAAATCAAACTCCTCACCATGAACACAATAAGACACAGTTTGAACATTTCAGTGTAATAAATTATACCCATCCACTCACATAATGTAAATGCAAGCCATACACGAAGCTAAACACCATTTTTAAAAAGCAACATTATACTAAATACATTTTCTTAGAAGAAAAACCAAAAGGTGGCCACCAAGCGCGGCTACGGATTGTTCAGTGTCCGGTTCTTTGTGGTGGCGGAGCCCGATATTCGCCTGGCCACCTTGGCGCTTATCAGGCCGCTGATTCCTTTGGTAAGCCAGTCCGGGACGGGGTCCTTAACAGCGTCCTTTGTGTTCCAATCCCCCCCAGCCGTTCTGCGTTCTCCTGTTAATTCGATGTTTAAGTCCCCCAGCAAGTACAAACTAACCTGGAACTTCTGATAAATAAGATGCGATCGATCCTCGGAATTCCGAGGCTAAAAAACCCTTTACAAAGAAGTAATTCATGGATCAATTTTCAAAACATTGTCAAAGTCCGATGGCCTAAAATGTAACTTGTGATATATTTAAAGTTTTATTTGTTCTTATGGTAGGCATTATATATCTTTACCTTTTCACGTAAATAAATACTTAACATTTATTTGTAAAGGGTTCCCCCAGCAGCTTTAAATTGCAATAAATTCCCTTGTATAAAGCGTCTCTCTTAAATGCCAGTTGCAGTTCGCCGATCCTTAGCACCTGCGTCAGTTCGCTTTTTTGAGTAGTTTTTGCAAAGTTCCAAAATAAATTAACAAACACGGTTAAACAACACCTAAACTAAAACAACCGACATTCGTAGCCTCTGCTTAAAACCCGACCATCTATGATTTCATTTTGATTTCTTCGATTTATGTAGTGCGCCGCCTCCTATGCTCTATCCTCCTCTCACTCACTCTCAGTAACTCTGTCTCTTTTCTCGCTCTGTCCCTCGAAATGTACTTACCAATCCTGCGTCAGTAATTGCAAGTCACCCAAACACTGGCACACTCACCCACAGATCCACACTCGATCACATCCACATGTTTTCTTGTATCGTAGTTAGTGCTGACTTTCCAGTTGCTCTTTGACACGTACTCGACTTTCCCGACCTCTGTTTCCGCGACTGATCGCTGCCTCTCTCTTGCAGCCGAACGAAGCACTCCCGAACCTCCAGACCCTCAAGGGCTCCAAGTCGAGCCTTTTCATGGGCTCCACCCTGTTCGGCTTCGACCACTTCTCCGCCGGGGACAAGGATAAGGAGGAGAAGACCGGCAAGGACAAAGAGAAGACGCCCACCGAGGAGACCAATCGCAAGTTGCCCATCATCAATCCCTTGGTGCGGCTACCCAACTGGCCAAGTAAGTATCCTTTTTAAATACATCTTGTAAATTTCCTTTCATTATGGTTTCCCTTCCTTCCAAAGATCTTGCCAATGGCGGTGGATTCATATCCAAATGTCTGCTGGCCAATGCCGATACTCTCTGTGCCGCTGTCAGTCCCTTGATGGATCCGGACGAGACTCTCCTGGCCGGTTACCACGAGAAGTGTGTGATGAACAACTACTTTGGCATTGGCATCGATGCCAAAATCTCGCTGGATTTCCACAACAAGCGGGAGGAGCATCCGGAAAAGTGCCGTTCCAGGGCAAGAAACTACATGTGGTACGGAGTCCTGGGATCCAAGCAGCTCCTGCAGAAGACCTGCAAGAATCTGGAGCAACGCGTGCAGCTTGAGTGCGATGGCCAGCGGATTCCTCTGCCGGAACTCCAGGGCATTGTTATCCTTAATATACCAAGCTTCATGGGCGGCACCAACTTCTGGGGCAGTAGCAAGAAGGACGACATCTTCCTGCCGCCGAGTTTCGACGATCGTGTCCTCGAAGTGGTGGCCGTATTCGGATCCGTACAGATGGCTGCCTCCCGGCTGATCAATCTGCAGCATCACCGAATCGCACAGTGCCAGAGCGTGCAAATCAACATCCTGGGCGACGAAGAAATCCCCATCCAGGTGGACGGTGAGGCCTGGCTACAGCCACCGGGAATGATCCGTATTCTCCACAAGAACCGTGTACAGATGCTGTGCCGCAACCGAAGCTTGGAACTCTCACTGAAGAGCTGGCAGGAAAAGCAACGTCAGCACAGCATCTCTATCCAAAGGGATGCTTCTTCCACGGCTTCGGAACACGCCGCCTCCACGGACGAGGTCATCTCCGAACGGGAATGCTATGTGCTCCTAAACTTTATCGAGGCCGTTAGCTCTCTGGTCAAGTGGGTTAAGTTCCTGATCATCTCGCATCCCGCCCTGCAGCACGATCTGTATGAGGTGGCCTGCCGGGCCAGTGAGGCATTGGAATCCATTCATCCGCAAGGCAAGCTCCTCGAAGGTCCTTCGTTGCGCACCAAGTTGGTGGAAGTCATCGATTCCTCGCGCCAGCTGTACGACGATGCTTGTACCCTGCTCCGAGATCGAGGTCATAGCCTGATCCTGCGAGAGGACCTGGAGACCAAGCTGAGCGCAGCCCTGGCCAACATGGAGATGGAGCTGAAGAAGTGTTCCGTGCAGAAGTGCATCGATGGCAAGCTGCGGGCCTACTTTAATGTCTTGGCACCGAATGAGGATGTGAGTCCAAGAACAAATATTATGGTTTCTATTTATTATCTTTGCAATCCACAGCCCGATGGTCGCCGGAAGTCTCGACCCTTCTGGGTGCGTCTCCGCTCTGGCTCCACCGCTGGCCAGCAGGCCTTTAAGCCACCGCTTACCAACACCCGCGAGGCGGCCAACAACTGGAGCGTCAACGAGGTGGTCACCTGGCTGGAGACAATGCAGCTGTCCGAGTACGTGGACAGTTTCCTTAAGAATGACATCCGTGGCAAGGAGCTGCTCACTCTGGGGCGCCGTGACCTCAAGGATCTGGGTGTAGTCAAGGTGGGCCACGTCAAGCGGATACTGCAGGCCATCAAGGACCTCAGCGAGAACTAGAGGGAGCCAGTTCATCCTGCGGACAACCGGCTAGTACAAACCAATCAGTCTTCGAATCGCACTCTTAGAGTTGAGGGGTATTAATATATGCGTTGTATAGTTGTAAGCGAGCTGCGGGAAAGTACGTTTTTTTATGGGACGACAAATGCATACAACAATCACTAATTTATAGGGTAGCTTAGCTAACGAAAAACACACTTGTCGCGGCAGGGGAAATGAGCGATCGATCACAACTAAGCTGACGTGGATCAGTTTCGGTTGGATTAATTCAGAAAAACTCTACGATAACAATATTACTATAGCAAGTACCATTAAGCATAACTGATCCGACAAACTGAAGGGGATTTACATATTTGAGTGGCAGAGAATCGAAGGATTCCTAAACATTTGAAATTGATTTTCATGGTTTTGCGTACTTACTATATGTTAAATTCAGACAAAACACTACAAATCGGCGGTTAAACGAATTTAAACGTAGTAGCACTTGCGATAACTATACCAAAAAAAAACAAAAATACAAAGACAGAATTAGATCATAAGTGTTTAACTCTCAACTTACGCTTATATTAAAGAAACTTAACAAACAAAAAATCCCGATCGAATCTAAAGAACCCAATTAAAATCCCAAGTAACCGACTAACCCTATGATTCTAAATTTATAAGCAATTTAAATTTTACAACATTAACGGAGCATGGAAACGGCTAAACCAAAATCATTCTCAAAAAAATTATGAATTGTATTTATACACACATACCTATACATTGATATTCGAAACTAAATTTAAATGTTTCCCCCACTGTATTGTTGAATCGGAATGATTATTAACATTATGTATATGCATGGGCGGGAATCGAAACTCGTAATTGCAACAATGAAAAGTCTGTTAAACGTGTCATTTTTTGTGGTAACCAAAAGCAACTCTAACTTGTTTATTTAAATGAATTTAGTTGATAAGTCCACGATGTTTTTTCAAGCATAAGTTTAGGTAAGATCCCCCGGTGGTCCCGGTGCCGGCTGCTGGGACCCGGGAAAATTCATTTGGTACTATATACAAGCATATGGAAAATCTTAGCTAGCATTCAGAACACCGAGTTAGGTGTATGAAACCTTTTTGGTATACCTTTTAATTGTTTAAATTTAAGCAAAACCAAGTGAAAACCAACCACTTTTATCAAAACATTAAAGTGTTAGGAATGAAATTGTGCTAAATTTTTATAGATATCAACATTCGTTTATGTTTACTCCCTATCAATCTAGCTCCCAAACTCTCTATCTGTAATGGAACATATAAATATAGCTGCATATGAGTAGGTTTAGAGCGTCCGCCGATCTATCTGACCCCTAAATATGTTGCCCATTCTCAAATGTTTGCTCAAGTTGCCTCCAATTGAGTGAGTTTTTGAAGTGGCATTGCTCTAGGCGAGCGTAGTCTATAACAAATCACTTGAGCGACGTCTATAAATTATATTTTTTGATATATAAGTATAAATGAGCCCAGACCAACTCGATTGATTTGTTGTGATCCCAACCGGAAACTTCTTTCCAAACTGCACCAGTAGCAATCCAATGATTTCGAAATATTTTGACACACATTTACGAAGCTATTTACGCTTACGAACAACATAAATGATAATTAGAGTTAGAATACGATATAATACAAATCCTTTGATATGATATGACAGATAACATATAAAGTAATTAAAAACACATTGAAACATTTTTTCGACACATGTATTTTCGAGCAAACTTTAAGCGAATTAAAACCAAAATTAAACTAAATAATATAAAAATGAAAAGGAGAAGTATAAGTTATGTATTTAAAAAGAAAAACTCTAATCGGCAATTTGAAATTTTCGCAATTTGAGCTTTTTCGTTCTCCCCAGACACCTCTTATCATACCTTATCGTTTTGTGTTATTCTTTTTAAAAATACTGTGATAACAGCTTTCTATATTCCTGTAATAAAAACCTAAATATAAATGTAACAAAGTAATTCATAACATAATTCATGAAGTGCAATGAAAAAATAACTATGAAGTCTTATAAATAGTTCGTCTACAATCAGCAAATAGGTAATGCCTACGAAAACAATTTATCAGCAATAAATGTTTAACAATAAATATATACAAATATTTTCAAAATACTTACTTCCCAGCCCCCCAGAAATGACAAATGTAAAAAGATCTCTCCAGATAACCCAATAAAAAAACCGATAATACAGTTAAGTGAAAAGTAAAAACAATTAAACAACAATATCTCCTCTCAAGCATAATAATAGATCAACTATAATAGAAAACATTTTCTTGAAGAAAACCTAATAACAGCAATAATAAAAGCAAAACAAAAACAAAACGAATTTGTTTATTTTCTTTACTGAAAATCGATCAAGAGTAAGTACAATATAACTAAAGGGACCCAAAAATTAAACAGAATCTTTAAAACGTTTATATGCATTTTTCATTTATTCGATTCATACAATGTTATACTCATTTTTTACCATCACTTGTTTTTTGGGTTTCTATTTTATCTTTTAATTTGTTGTCTTTTATATGATTCGGTTACTTCGTTCAAAGTACATTTATAATTATATTATATCGTGTTTTTTTAGCATTTCTATCAAGGCTATTTGGTGTGCCTTTTTATGACAATTCAGAGAAATTATCAATTGGGTTGTATTGTTACTTGTTTTATTGCATTTCTGATGAGGCTCGTTAATTCATTAAAATTGTAGGCGCATTTAGGCGTGAAAGTCAATGTCTAAAATTGATTTAATTGATTGGTGTTTTTATTTCTGATTTTATTTGTATTTTTTTTTTTTTTTTTGTGGTTTAGCTTTGTGACTGAAACGTAATTGGAAAATTCTTATTGTTTTGACTTTCATATAAGTGTCTATAAAAATCGATTTATTACTTTTCATTGTATTTTTCGAAGAAGCCTGAGTAGTGCGCCTTTTTTTGGAATTGTTTACGGGGTATAATTTGTTGGGGGTTAGGTTTCCATTTCATTTCCTTTGTAAACAAGCTAGAATATATATATCAAGTTCATTCTTAAGTAGATTCATATTAAAGTTGCCTAAAATTTGTTAAGTACGATATTTAAAACTAAATGAGTTCAAGAGTCTACCATTTGGTTGTGTTTTCATTTATCAAATTTTAACTTGAAATATAGTTCTTTTGTGTGTGTGTGAGAGAGAGTGTGCATTTCCTGTTTGTCTCGGTTTCGGTTTCAGTTAATTCGGGTAATTTTTTTAATATTTAGATTGCCAGAGAGGTTAGTTTAGTTTATTTGTCACATGTAACTAATGCTTCTGGCGTGATCAAATCGGTGACAATTCTAGGTCTGAGCGTAATAAACAATTTTTGTTCTTTGGGGCACTTGATAATGGGTTATATTTAATAACTATTTATGGGGTTCAGTAGGTCAACTCATCGATTTCAAATAACAAACAGGTCTTTTCATGAAAAAACATATAAAAAATATTCAACTGTTTAATAAATACCATTGACGTGTCATTATACTTCTTCGTTTTTATTTTTTTGTTTAGTTTATTTGTGTATTTGTTTTTTATTAAAAATATATATAGGCAAGCAACAATTAAGCTCAATACTGAAGTTAATCACACAACAAATGGGCAATGAAATTTTAACTTCAGCTTACAAAGTTTTCACTTTTTCTCTTCAGTTTTTCCCTCGAGAAGTTTAACATTTGGGCATTTCACCTTGGCAAAAGAAAAGGATCTGCCGAACTGAGCTTCAACTGGTACTTAGTTTGTACTGAAACGCTGTCTACACTGAGAGATATGAAGAAATGAAAGCTAACAAAATTCTCGTACAAATTGCATCAACTTTCTCAAAGCTATTGCCCCTTGGGAAGCCTTTGTCTTAATAATTTCTTTAACGCTAACTTTACTCAAAATCTGATTAAATTGTTTAGATTTTCCATTCAATTGTGGTCTCTTGACTATTTTCACATACACGTAGTAGTTATGCAAGAAGTGTACGCAAGTCTGAAACTAGTTTCACAGCTTTTCAAAGCATTATCTCTTATGTTTTTCTTTTTTGTAATATTTCCTTTCGCTATATTCCATGTAATCTGTGTGTGTGTGTGTGTCTCGTTTGTTTGGTGTTAGTTTGTTTTAACCATCGGTTGCCTTAAGTTTCGTATTAGCCAAAATGTATCTTAAATTATTCTTAACTCCATGTTGTCGTAATTGGTATTCTTCTTCCATTTTTGTAATTCATGTGCAAAATCTATTATCAACTTTTGGTATTTTGACGGATCAGCGTTATAGCCTAGATCACCTTATGCATTACCCAAATATACGGCTTGGCTTGGCTCAACTAATGAGAGTTACAAAACTGTGAGTATATCTCCTTTCCGGTCGAATGGCCTCACTTTTTGGACGGGTCTTTGCGGTGATGTTTGTCCCATTTAATATTTTATTTTTACTATGACTGAATGATATCGAAATATTGCAAAGTTCTTGGGGCTTAATTGCAAAGTAAACAACATCGGTACGATTATGTTGTTGTTGTTGTTGGGTACAGGCAGTGAAAGTGTCTTATATAACAAAATTTTGGGTGTATTGCTCGCTTGTGATTTGGGGGCTATAGGTCTAGACATTATATGAGTTTTGGCCTGATTACATTTGCTTGCAGCAGTCGAACTGAGAAAACCAAAAGCTAATTTTGTCATGGATTCAAGCTTAGTCAAAATGGGTTTTCATTTAAGGCTTAGTTCCTGATTCCATTACAATAAGTACTCCATTAAGTTATAGTTGGAAATAAGTTATGAATATTCCTTCATTACAATCATATTATTATTAGAAAATAAAATAGTAGAAAGTTCTTTCCTTCTCAAACAATTTAAAATAAATAATCTGTACAATTTAGCTCGTGATAAATTACAAATAATATGTCTTTAATCATTGAAGTCTAATGGTATCCATTTAAATATTTCACTGCATACTTTTGTGCAACAAAAGTGGTTTTGAAACGTTCATCTTCTCTTGCTAAAGAAACTATTATATCACTTTCAATTAGAATTACAATTTGTATCAAATTAATCAAATTGAAAATATATTATTCTGTAAAACCTATCCATGGCTTAATGGAATATTATATTGTATGTGGAACCAGGCTTTCAGATAGGCTAGATGTGGTGTATATTCTTAGGGTATTGCATAACGTCTATTACGTATCATTATAATTTGCTTTCAAGGATCAACTAATTGCCTTACTGAATACATTTTGCACTTAAAAAGCACTGCGTTATTTTTGGATCTGAAAGGATCTCGCCTAGACGCTCTCCTCCTTGGTGGCGCTGCTGCTGCCCCAGAATCGATCGAAGCGGTCGCGGGCCTTCTCCAGCACCTCGGCGGCGGTTGTCCTTGCAGTCGATGCAGTGCCTGTCGATGATGAGGACGAGATGGCCGGATCTGGGAGCTGCTGCTGCGGCTGATCCTGCGAGGCAGTGCATCGCACTGCGCCGCCCGGCTGGCCGGTGGGCGTGGCCAGGGCATGGGCGTGGGGCGTCAGTGTCTTGCCGTAGACCGCGGCTGTTGGACTGTTCGACTTCCAGGCTGTCGGCGTTGGATGGCAGTGGTCGAGAGAGAGGTGGGGGAGGGGGAGATATTGTGGAAATAGTGTTCGTTATGTTACCAAAGGTCAAGGGGTTACGGGTACGGGTACGGGTAACGCTATGTGATTGCATTAGCTTGAACAATTGCTTTTGGCTTAATACAGAGAGAGAGAGCGGGGGAACTTTGCATTTATTTACGCTTATCGAGTTTGGATTTTTTGGCTTGATTTGTTTGGTGTATGGTTTTTTTTTTTTTTTTTTTTTCGTTTTTTTGGATTTTAAGAAGTTGAAGGAGATTGGCTAACGATGATTCGATTTTTGGATGATGGTTGTGAGTAGCGATACATACATATACATATACAGATACATATATTTAGATACGAGTTAATATATAAATATTTGTAAAAGCGATTCGACTTGTTTTTTGGTTTTATTATTTAGTTTTTTGTTTTATTATTATTTTTTTTAGGTTTGTTGACTTCATTTTGGTTTTGCTGATGCTTTTGGTATGGAAGTTTTGCGTTTTGGTTTATTGAAGCGTGCTTAATGGCTTACCGTCCATTTTAGCCTGTTCGGTTAGTTGTGGCGGTGCCGATTGCGGTGGCGGCGGTGGCTTCTCCACCGGTGTTGACGCTTTAATCTCGCTCTGAGGTCGGCTGTAGTTCTCCCCTGTGGAAATACATAAAATTCAATTAATACAATTAAATACACTTTACAGGAAGTGCAAAATCAATCAATCTTAGAGGGGCTACTTTACCATCCTTGACATTCTGCGTAACCGTAAAGGTCTTGCCAGTGTCTAGGGGCACCGTCCAGTTGACTGGATCGGGTGAGCGCATTATGATCTGCTCCGGCGACTTGACCCTGGTGGGTTCCGGTGGCGACTTCACCAGCGGCTCCTCGGGCACTTCCGGCACCGGCGGCTGTGGACTGCAGCTGGAAATGGAAATGGCAGTCTCACGGCCGTCCTCGGCATCGTCTGTTGGTGGTTCAAAATATCCAGGAGAGATTATAAATTTCAATTGCAATTGCAGTGTTGGGGATTATGCTTTATGGAATTAACTTGATTATAGGCGCATTATATGTTTGAGTTATATCATTATGCTGCCGTAGCTGTTGATCTTCATATATCCTTTTTTTTACTTGTTAAGCAAATTTTGTGTTTGAGTTTTACTGGTTAGTAGTTGAAACCAAAATGTAAAAAAAAAATTTTGTATTGGTAACATAGTTTGGAAACCAAAAACGGAATGGAACTTAGACAACTTAGGGATATTAAGCTGGAAGCTTAAAAGGCAACAAATTGTTAGTAGAAACCAAAGGAATTATATTTATTTCTTAATTCTTTCTTATTTTTTGTATTGTTTTTTTTTTTTATATAAAGCGCACAACATGAGAAACGGCATGCCACAAATACACAAACAGACACGCAACATGTAAATGCGAAGAAGAGTAATAAAAGTATTTGATGTTTTTTATTTGGTTTTGGAATAACGTTGTAAATAAAGAGGTATTATTATTTATTGTGGAGTTTTTTTGTTTGTTTGTTTTTGATTGGCAAAATTTTGGAGCAGGCAACAAAGAACGCTTCGACGACAGCTGGCAAAGAATGTATTTAGTTTTACCTTTTTATATCTGACCCTGAAAATAATTACACACTCTACAAACTCACTTAAGAATGTGACCCCTTATTTATAATCTTTGAAATATTATGATAAATAATCCTAGCTAGTGTGATTATTGGTGTGGAATGTGTGTTCGTTTTTTTGGTACTATGTAATAAATTCTAAGCGAACTCCTAAACTATAACCTTTTCTAATGGATATGCTACTATTTCCCTCCTACATTTTACCTTTTGATTTACTGTGTATTAAGTATTTCGTGTTCTTTGTGTTATTTCGTATAAAATTACATTCATTTTCTAAGAAAATCTAGAGTAAAAATGCTTTACAAATACATATGTACACAGAGAAAAAATAAATGAAAATAGAGTAGAGTTTCGTAAACGTGATTTGATATCATGGAACACAACGAAAGAAAATAGGACTACAAATGATGAGGCGCACATGAAAACGGTATTCTAATACAATTTGTTTATACATTTACAGGAATACAGATACACGGCTGAATACACAACATTTACAAACATTGATTACAACAACAACTAACATTTAATAACAACGCACTTTTCTCTTTTGTTTGGGTTTGCCCACAATTTCTAGCAATCAGGAATTTGGAATTTAATTACTTTTTGTTTGTTTTTATTTCTCTCGGTGATGGGTGATTGAATTTTGAACACGGGCAACCAGTGGAATAACGAGTTACTAACTAGAAAATAACAATAAATAACTACAATTTTGTACAATTCGAAATGCCAATCTATCGAGAAACCAACGCACACACATGATTCCACATGGTTCCGTGAGGGAAAAACAGAAAATACACTGAAACACGCTAGTTGTTCATTCAAATGTGGGGTCCAAATGGTTTGCCAATTGGTAAATCATAAAGCTTGATCACTTTTGCACTAAATTGTGGACGAACAGTTTGTGGCCAAGGTGTCAAAAATGCTGGATTATTAATAGCGTTTTTACGAGTTCATTTTTTAATTTTTTTGGGAAAGTATTTGCTTTGTTTAAGTTTTACAAAAGTTGCAACACAAACACTTCGCGCATCAGATGTACTTTTACAGCATTTTCCGTGTATTAATAATTTTTTATATTTTTTTATTGTTAAGTGGATTTTATTTTTTTTAATTTAGTTTTAGTTTTTGGGGTTATTGCAGATTTGATTTGATTCGTTTTACTTAGTTTTTGTTCAAGTTCAAGTTCAAGTTCACGGTGAAACTTTACTCACTTTCAGCCAATTTTTTATCCTGACCTGGTACCGTTAGCCGTTTGATGTTGATGGTCGCAGGACGTTTGGGGGTTTGGGCCGATGTTGTTGCCAATGTTGCAGATGCTGCTGCTACCTCTGATGTTGCAGCAACATCCAATTGCTGTTGCTGTTGCGGTTGCTCTTGTTGGTGTTGTTGTTGTTGATGTTTTTGCTGTTGTTGATTTTGCTGTTGCTGTTGCTTTTGCTGTTGTTGTTGTTGTTGTTGTAGTTGTTGTTGCTTTTGTTTATTCTGCTGATGCTTGACACTATTTGTATTTGTACTGCTACCGCTACCAGCACCAACTTGACTACCAATGCAACTAATATTGGATCTATCTTTGTCTTTCTTACGCATTTGTTGCTGATGCTGTTGCTGTTGGGCGGTTGCTGCTGCCGTTCTGTTGTTGCTGCTGCTGCCGGCCTTGCTGCTGCTCTTGGCATGTGATGATTGTGATTGATTGGTTGCATGATTAGCGTTTAGGGCCGATTTAGCTGCTGATGATGCTGCACGGGCTGCTGCAGTTGCTGGCGGCGCAGAGGCTACTCTACCGTTGGGCGGTGGCAGGGAACTACTTTTAATGCGGGATTGGAATGTTGTGGATAGGGTGGCTATAAGAACGTAAGCAGTTTTCGGTTTTGGTTTTTCGTTTTTTTTTTTATGTTTTACGATGATTTTTTGTTGTCATTTTTTATTTTTCATTATTTTTTGTTTGTATTTTTTTTAACCGAAAACAAAACGCACGTGAAAGAAATTATTAAATGTATATTTTCATCAGAAATGTTTTTTTTTAATTGGAATTGTGACATGTCGAGAATGCATTTAAAGCAAAAGCTTAAAAATGTCCCAACAAAAGGAGTTCGAACGAAAGGAAAAGCATAATGAACCAAATATGAAATGCTGTTAGTAAGAGCACCTTCTACACCTTTTTCTGGTTTTTGGTTAGTTGTATTAACATGGTTACGGGTTAGACTACTTAAATCAAGTTTTAAATCAAGGTTTGCAGCTATTGAAAGGAAGGAGGACACATTGTTGGCTTTGGGACCCGAGGACGAAAGTAAATCCCAATAAACTGATCGTTATTATCACAAACATATGTTACAGATTTATCCAGGATGTAAGCCAACAAAGTCATACTTAAGGTTAGTTGGAGATTAACGGAATACAAACTAAAACTCGAACGATTTAGACACAACACTGAACTGGAATTGTTAGTTTTTGTTACTTTTTTACTTACTTACAGATAAGTTTAATTGGATTATGGTTTTAGTAGTTTAGTTAGTTAGTTATTGAATTTGTTGTTAGTAATGGTTCACTCAACATGCTAAACTATAGATTGTTATGTACTCGAAAGACCAATCAAACGCTGCATTACAGAGAGAACAGTGATTGAAACTGAAGGGGTTAACGAATGGGAATATATAAAACATAAAAATGTAACTGCATGACCAGAGACTATAAACTAACAAAACTAAAGGGTAATTGTTAATTAATTACTTTTCAACTATGTTAGGTTTTGTTAATTGTTTGTTTAGACACTCAACTAGATGGTCGCTCGAAATAAGTTTTAGATTCAGAGGAACGCACAAACTGGCGACGTGATCCGTAAACTAAACTAAACTAAAAACTAAGAACTAAACTAGGACCAAATCCAAATCCGGCAACTAAAACCAAATGAATGCAAACAAAACGAGGCAACAAAGAAAAGGATAATCGGAACGCAATCTAAGTAACACATGACATATGCAAACTAGGACTAAATAAATAAGGCAATGGTCGCCTCGCAGCGATCCATCGAACTGAACTGAGTCGAACTGAGTTTTTGGGGTATTTGGCGGAGGGATTTTGTGGGTTTTTGCCTCCGCTAAAATGGCTACTTACATGGGCGCGCCTTGCGCTCGCTTCCGCTTCCGGTTCCGGCTATCGGCGTCTTTTTACGGCTCGTGGGCGCCTGACTCGCCGACCGGATCTGGCGCTTCGGTGACTCATTCTCAGCAACGCCCGGACCCACGGATTGCGAGCGGGCTGATCACCACATCACGCACATGGACACAGGGACACAGAGCCGGATGATAAATATGATGGATTCGTTCGTTTCGTTTCGGTTTTGGTTTTTTTCATTTTGCATTTCGTTATTAATTTCGATTTTGTTGTATGGTTGGTTGGTGGTGGTGGCGGTTTGATTGATGACAAAAGTACGATTTGTATGTTTAATTTTTAATTCGCATTTAACTAGAGAATTTCTTAGTCGTTGTGTGTATGTGGCTCTCTACTGGTGATAGTTGTGTGGGTGTTTTAAGTGAATTATAGTACAGGATTCATCATGGCAATGAGCTACAACTTAGGCTTTCAAAAATATATGCTAAATGCATTTGGAAAATTCTAAAAAAAATATATATCACTCTCTGCTTTTCAGTCGTTTGGGATCACTCTTTTTATTAGCAGTCTTGCACTTTTTTAATGCTCTTACTAATAGTTAAAGTAGGGTTTAATTGTAACTAAATCGCTAAGCGCAAAATATATTTAAGGACATGACTAAACTCAAAATGAATAGTGTTTCTATAGAAAACAAGCAATTTCAAGTTTTTCAAGTATCATAACTAAGTCAAAAATTCTTTAATTTCAATTCGGAAAGCGTTTCTATGTTAGTTTTTTATAGGTTAACAAATCTGCATACTTAATTTTTAATTTCAGAAAATTCAATTTTTTGTCAAATTTTAACAATTTTAATGATGTAACCCCTTATGAAATTTCAAAATTTGGGAAAAATTTCGAATATTTATTTTTTGACCGGACATGGCTAGATCGATTTGGCTGTTAATGCTGATCTAGAATATATATGACTTATAGAGTCGGAAATGACTCCTTCGGGAGTTACGAGCTTCTGACTAAATTATAAATACCATTCTTTGAGTTGATATTTATATATATTTTTATATGACAATTTTATCAACAATTCCAAATTTAAAAAACTCATTACAAAGCCAAAAATGCTTTAATTTCAATTCGGAAATCGTGTCTGTGCTAGTTTTAAATAGGTTAACAAACCTGCATACTTAATTTTAAATTTTAGAAAATTCAATTTTTGATAAATTTTTGCAAATTTTAATGATGTAACCCCTTATCATTTTTTGAAAAAATGAAATAAAAATCTAAAAATTTATTTTTCAACCTGACATGGCTAGTTCGACTCGGCTATTGATGCTGATCAAGAATATATATGATTTATGTGGTCGGAAATTACTCATTCAGGAGTTACAAGCTTCTGACCGAAATAATAATACTCTTCAAGAGTATAATATGCAAGTACCATTTAGGAATAAAATAGGTCCCCGAGCAAGCTGCTTATATCCAAAAAGTAAAGCCAGGACCAACTGAAGGCCACTTATCTTACATAGATATTTACACAACCCAGCACGTACATGATATAAATATATACATAAAAGCCACATGAATGTAAGATGGAGATAATCTGTTCACTGTCTCGAGCTAATAACCTTAACTTACAAATACACATGGAGATGGACTCCAAAACTTAGCGCATAAGTATCTGCAAAATGGTTCTCCAAAAACACAGTCTTATAGTAAGTCTAGAACATGAAATGCAACTTTCAACTGATTTCGACAAATAAATCCTCGTATAAAAAATGAGAAAAAAAGACGTATTTAACAAGAAACTACATTAAGAGTGTGCACAAATCTCATAGCCCAACAAGTCTTCGGTGCACTTTACAAGGATGAAAGTCTTTTCGACTCCTTCAGGTCGCGGGGGAAAATGCAAATCAAACGGTTGAAGCATTTGAGCAAACTATGGCAAAAACGGAAATCATACTTGGAAAACCAAATCAAGTCATCGAAAACGGGGCGTATACTTATTGTTGGAGCGTGTACAATTGTTCTGTTCTGTTCCCGAACTTGTTACTCTATTGGTGAGTGCATTTTGTGTACTTGTGTCATTCTTGCTTAGGAATAAATTGGCTATTCAGCTATGGTTAACTTTTGGAGTAGGAATTGGAGTTTTGAGTATATGCATTCGTCTGCTTCGAATATGTGTATCTTCTGCTCGAGAGAACCGGGAAAAAAAGGCGAACTACTCACATTTGAGGACCTTCTTGGGGCTGCCCTTCTGGGGACTACCCTTCTGGGGTGATCCGTGCCTGGACAAGGCGGTCTTCTTGGGACTGCCACGCTGCGACTCCGACTCCCGCTTGGTGATGGCCGGCATCAGTTTCTCCCGCGTCGGCGAGGGCAGCAGGGCGCCCTCCTCCACATCTGTGGAGGATAGTTATTAATTATTCTGGGATAACCCGATGGTATGGCAAGTACTTACCCGGGCCCGTGGTGCGTTCGAGGTGATGGCGTATATTGCTAAAGCGTGCTGGCAGTGCTGAAATCTCATCCTTATTATCAATCAAAAAGGCTTGGCCAGGAACCCGTGGCTTCTGGGCCTTTTGCAAGGGCGTGGATTTCTTATTGTTCTCCTGTTCCTTCTCCTCCTTTGTGATGGGTCTGTAAGTGGAGGAAATAGTTAAGTATTTATGTAAAGTAGTTTATAAATTATATTAAATATAAGCTTTTTAACCATTTCTGGTGAAAACAGTTGAGAGTCAATAAAAATAGTTATTAAAGCTTTGACATATTTTTTTGTAGACTTTACTTATGCACAGACGAGGCTAGGGAAAGTGCTGAGAGTGAGCTGCGCTTTGAAACCTGATCCCATAGATCCTTCTGTTTCTTGTAGAGGTCCGGATCGATCTCTATGCCCCAGCCGCGGCACTGTAAGTAAGGAATTCAAGATTATTAATGTATTTTAATCAAATATAAAAAGACAAAAGATTACCTTGTATTCGCCGGCCTTTTTGCGCAGCTCAACCATCTCCTTGAACCACAAATCCAAATTCGGTTTAGAGTGCGGCGGTGCAGAGCCATTCATGACCACCATCTGGCCAGATTCGGCAACCTGCTGCCGATTGTCCACCTCATCCTTGAGAGCCGCAGCGGCCACGGCGGCATCGGCAAAGCCGAAGTTCTCCTTTTTCGTGATGAAGTGATTCAGGCGCTCCTGGTCCATGGCCTGCGAGAACGGACGCGAGGTAATCTTGCGCTCCACAATGGACACATGTCTGCAATAATCGAGGGTATCATTAGCCAAACGGAAATGGGAACCAGCTTCTGAGAGATCTTTTTGGGGGTAACTGCTGTGCATCTCGATGGTTGCAGCATGCAACACTGGCAACATGCAGGTGCGGATGAAGGGTGGGTTCTGATTTATTCTTATTCATATTTTTTTTTGGTGATGCTGCATTTTCGGGTGGGCTAATGAAGGACATCACTGAATGAGAATGGCAGAAGCTATTGAGCAAATCGGTTTGAGCTTGAATTGAGTTATTTTGAGGGCTACGGTAATCAAATGTTCATACTTCTCGTGCGTTTTTCTATCATCCGTATCGCTAACCAAGGGCTCCAACTCATGTAGAGTAGCTGAAAGCACACAGATACGAAATTTAATGCTGCAATCCAAGGTCGGTCGATAGCTTTATACAGATTCTGGCTGGCAACTGGCACCAGTCGGGGTTGGGTTACATTAAGATAAGGGAAAGTATAAGTTAATTATAGAAAATGCAGTAGGAAACGAAAGGCCAAAAAGGTGGAAACAAAGGTAGGGGGTTTTCTTTTGCAAAGTGTGTCTCGATTACGCTAAACTTGAACTCTGGTAAGGGGGTTTGGGGTGAATTTACTTTATTGTACAGCAAAATAAATGAGCCGGAAGCAGCGCCTTGGTGGGTAGTGATTGGGTGTGTTACGGTGGTTTAGTGGTTCAGTGGTTTAGTGGTTTAGTGGTTTAGTGGTTAGGTGGTCAGATGGTCAGGTGGTGGCTAGGTTAGTTGTGTGGTGTGAGGGCGAGGCAAAATGCTAACTAAAGACTTCGAAATGAAAATCAATTTGTGTTTCTGGCTGATTGGCATTGAGTCGAGAACAGAAAATGATGTTGGATGAAGGGACCCAAAACAATTATCACTTGGTTTAGCTAATTATTATTATTATATTCTTTAATTTAGTTTTCAGTTAAGTGATAATTGTTTGCGGCCCCTGTTTGACTGAAGCGTGTTTGGTATGGTTTCCTTGTTTTGTTTCAATCTCGGGATATGTTTGAACAATTTTGGGTGGCTTTTGTTTGGAATATAGAACGAAATTCAAACCAATTATTGTACGTTTTTTTCTTTTCTTTGATAAAATATGTGTTTGGATATAATTCATATTGATTTATTTGGTATTTTTAAGCACTACGACCAATTTGCACACTATGGAAGCTCTTCGCTGGAAGCTCAAGGCGTCGCATTAGGGTTAAAGGCAAGACCAAAGCATTTTTGCACTTGAAGCCACTAAGATTGCCACTGAGATGCAGATGCACTTAATGTCTATACGGTATATATAGAGAGGTTAATTTTTGTTTTGTATTTCCGCATTTCCGTGTCTCCTTTCCGTTTGCCTTACCTATGCGCTTTGCTTGAACTGCAAGATTCAGTTAGTAATGGAAGAGTTATGATTACTGCCCTCTGAGACTAACTCACACTAAGCCTGGCCAATTCGCCTAGCTGATGATATATATATAGTATAGTATAGTTGAGGTGGTGCCATATGTTGACTGATTCTGACTGATTGATTGATGGTTGTCTTGTTCTGGTACTGATACTGATACTGGTACTGGTTTAATGCATGACACTATTTGTAATTTCAGTTGGTTGACGTTTCACACATGCAACGAAACTAAGGCAACGATGCGGTATATATGTTATGTATGTAGTAACTCCTACGCTTCGATCGAAATGAAAACGAAATTTATCGCACAACCTGCGGCCACAACATGCTCCATCTACACTTTTGCTATTTTCAATTCCACAATTCGTCACGTAAAATTGCCCTGACACTGCGTCAATGTGGTGGCTCTGCATTCGGGATGAGCACGGATCCGGGTTTCATAATTTTTGCCCATCCACTTTTCAATTCCATTCGATTCGCAATTCAACGCAATTTTACGCTTGGCAGTAAAACAAATTGTATTGGTTTTAGCACTAATAAAAATTAAATTTAGTTCAACACTTACGTCAGCTTTTGGCTAAAAAGATATATGAATCTTGAATGTGTTTATCAACCGTTTAGTTTTAGGGTTTAGTTTTAGGTTCGGTATTTTTTTCGAAAGGAATTTAGCATAATTTCGTTCTATATGAAATAGATTTAAGAGACAGTACAAGATTGCTATCTGCTTGAAATAAAAAAACAAACATTAGTTCACAAAAGCGCTCAACAGAAAACATTTGCTTGTTTATACAGAAATAAGGGCGAAATCAAAAGCGGAAATGTTCATAAGATTAGTCTAGGAAATATCTATCTTAGTTCTGAGCACTGTAGTATACATATTTATAGGTATGGGTAAGGGTATATATATATTGGTAAGCAAATAATTTACGACGACGTGTACATAAAAAACTTGATTTGGAGTTCAATCGAATGCTGCTAGGTGGCAAATTAGCATTTTTGAAATTATGGCAGTGGTGAAGAATAGAGAAAATTGTTTATTTATTCTACGTTCATTTACCAACACTATTTTACGCTTTTTTCTAAGGATTTCTTTTTTAGATTAGTTTTTTCTTTTGTTTTGTTTTTTTGGCTCAATGCGGCTGCCACTGCACAAATTTTCATTTAAAAATCTTGAAAAATAAACAGATCTCAACAATTACAAAAAGGTTAGTAAACAAAATCTGCCGTGAATCAGTTAGTTATGTTGATTAAGTAAAAAAACGATTAAAAATTAAATTTGAATACAATCGCTCTTCGCTTGGTTTTAGTTTTTAAGTTTTAGTATTACATATAGTAAGTAGTTGAAAGAAACTATGCGCTAATAGGAAATGTATTGTTTGTTTCATTCGTTTTTTTTTCGACTTGGTTTTTTAGGTTTTAGTTTAGTTAATTTAAGTAAATGCTTAGCGACGACAATTTGTTGTCGCACCTTCTTTCTGATTTGTTGTACGTTTTTTATGCACCGTGGCCAAGCCGGCACCGGCACCACCACCGGAGTGCCCGATCTGGGCCTGGTTCTGGGCCTGGTTCAGGGTCTGGGTCTGACCCTGGTTCGGGGCGTGGCCGCCGGACCGCAGGGCGCCAAGCGATATGGACTTTCTCGGATAGTCGCCGGCGGCGGCCCTAGACGTCGCGTCGCCGCCCTTAATCCGTCGGACAGTGGGCCAAACGAATTGCAGGCGGTACTCTGTGCTCAGTTTTGTGATGGTCTTTTTGAATAGGCCATTTGACTCACCCGCCTGCGAAAGAGAAGAGCAGAATCACACAACGCAGAAGGGAAAATGTTACCAAAAAAACAGGACGAGAATCGAGAAATGAGAAGAGAGAAAAGATGTAGAACGAGAACGAGAACGAGAAAAGAAAGCATTGCAATGTCGCATTGAGTGTTAGGAATTAAAGTTTAAATATTTCAATATTATTCGTAGTTTTAGGTTGGGTTTTAGTGGGGACGATCAGAGCATAGTTAACACAGAGAAGAAGAGACCGGGTTAGTCATACGTGGAGAAACAGAGAACGAGAAAGAGAAGAAATACACACAATACAAGTATAAATGGAAAATTTTGAAACAACTATTTGCTAATTTCGAGGAGATATATTATTAAGATGGTTAAGATTATGTCAACTTAAGATAAGGACCCAGATATATTACTAAAACTAATGCATATAGTATTAAAGTTAAACGAGGGCTTTAAATAGCTTTAAGATATTTATAAGAAATCATTAAAGTTAACAAACAGTACATATTTATTTATTTTTTTATAGAAATTTAAGAAAATACCCATAAAGGTAAAAAATATTTCCCATAGTTAGTTTAAATGTAAGGTCCTTTAATCTTCTTATCATTTTACCCCCAAATGTATGCTATGCAACGTAACAACCAAGTAAATAAATATAAAAGACACAATCATATATGTATGTTTGACATTTAATGTTTCTGTTAGCATCCATTCACTCACACCGGGACACAGAGGGGGGAACTAGCATAAAGTCCTTGTTACATGCAATACAAATCACAGCCACAATGGCTACAATCAGAAAGGCAACAAAAAAAGAAAAGTACTAAGTATTGAAGGTATCAGGGCTATAACAAGCGTATGAATGGACGCAAAAAAAATCGATATACAACTTATGCAAATGTTGAAGGGTTTTGCAGATTAAAATTTTACATTCAGGTCGAGTAGACGCCTGACTAACTGACACTCTGTCTGACAACTCAATGGTTCTTTTGCACACACACTAAAAATCACATGCCCAAATACACAGCAAGAAGCTTTAAGATACTGTGTTTAAAATTTTATATATATTTTTCAAGGCATTTTATATAAATTTAGTAAACTCAAAACGTTTAAAATAGTACTATTTCACATTTAATTTAAAGTTGTAAATATTGTTAAAGATATTACTTTATGAAATAATTTTTGTGAAGTGCATTTATAGCCATGTGAGCAAATGAAATCTTCCCATAGACGCAACTGTTCAACAACATGTCGTCCTGCATAGGGAAAATTGCCAATAAAAGGACTGGAAAAGTTGCAGACAGCATCCCCGCAAGGGGGTGGGAAATTCAGGACCTGACTGATGGCCAGCATCAGCGCTAATAGAAATTGTTGCGCGCCGCCATGTTGCGGTCCAATGGTCCGAGGCGCATCCTATCTCTGATCGGAAATGGAAGACAGGTCCTTTCTCTCTGCAATATTTTTTACACTGCCGATACATCTTTATGGGATGTCACGAAACGGACTATTGAGTAAATGGAAATGTGAGTCCTTGAATCCTTGAGTGAATAAGAATTTTTCCAAATTTAAGACTATGATTTAGTAATCAAATTCCCCTCATAAATTAGCTTTTAATTAACTTAAAATGATATGCATTTGTTTATTCATTATACTTAGGAGAGCTTCTACTGCATATTCTGCATTTAAGATAATCATTGTCCCTAATGAGCTGCACTAGTGATAACCCCATTCGATATAAAACCTTAATTAAATTCATCATGCTTGGGAATTGATACACACACACGCACACACAAACACCCAGTGCTAGATTAGGCAATAGACAACTATTGAATTAGACACCCGAGTGCCATCCATCTGACAATTGTGTACCTGTTTTCTTGTGGCTCCATCGATCTCCGTTGCAATGGGATAGGCACGTCCATTGGGCACGACGGGAGGTCCCTCCGATTTGCTGCGGCGCGAAGGTGTGCCCCGCTCCTCCGACTGCAGTCCAATTTATATGAAAATCCAGAGAGAGAGGGAGCAAGAGAGAGAGAGAGAGAAATTGAGACATTGAGAGACAGAGAGAAAGAGAGACGTAAACGGCCATGTATAGTTAATTAGCTGGCCATTAATATTACGCATACGCCTTGTTGACGTGCGTCATCAGGTGAAGTCAATTAATTATGTATTGTCAGGGTGTTCATGATAGTATGTCAAAAGCACACATACTCAAGCACTCAGGTCAGTGGTGTTGAAAGGATACTCATCGGGGGGATTAAATTTAAATAATGAACTAAAAGTAAACTTAAGAAGAAAGGCTTTTTAACCTTTGTATACCTACAAGAAAATCTTAAATATGTGTATTCTAGGTATGTTAAATAGATATTTTTAAGGGCTTATTTTTTGGTTAAATCAAAGTTTTCAAATACCATAACTAAGCCAAAAATGATTTAATTTTAATTCAGAAATCACTCCTATGTAAGTTTTTATTAGTTTAACAAATCTGAATACCACATTTAAAATTTTAAAAAATTTAAATTTTTTGTCAAATTTTGACAATTTTAATGATGTAACCCCTTATTAAAATTTCAAATTTTGAAAAAATTTCGAAAAATGTATTCTTCTACCGGACATGGCTCGATTTAGCTGTTAATTCTGATCAAGAATATATATGATTTCTAGGGTCGGAAATGACTCCTTCCATAAGTTGCAAGCTTCAGACTGAAATAATAGTACACCGGAAGGGTATAAAAATATATTTACTCATTCTTTTAGATTTAAAATAATGATTATCAAAAACTATGATTTTAGCAAGATATACTTAAGAATAATTAAATCATTCATATTTATAAATGCTTTAAAAACTACTTCAACATATATTTCGTCTACAATGCTTCTTTAAAGATTATCTAGGGACCTTTAAGTCCCCTTTCTCCGAAAGCCTCTGATTCTGGCACACGTCTCTCAATGTCCTTGCAACATGTGCCGCTGTGTGCCTCATTATTAATTAGTCTAGGTTGGCAGAGGAGAATCAGAAAATGAACTAGGATGGGAGCAACCTCTCATATGGGGCTTTTTGTGTACGACTTTTATGTATTTTCTGTGGCATTTGAGAGCGTCGACATTTTCACGAGGGCCGCTGCTTAAACGCATTAACCCTAATGCCAATTCTCCCGGAAAGCCGTAGCATTCATATGCAAATAATAATATGGCACACACACACACATGTGTGTGAATGGTAATGGAGAATATATATATTTTGAAATGAAGACTTTAAAATCTAGGAAATATTTACTGTTGGCATGTAGTAGGTTGCCTACGGCTTGTAATCAAATTATAGAGTATAATGAATAGGCAGTTTTCTTTATGTACTTCTGAATGCATTTCCATTTTGCTCCCACACGGACCTCTTCAAATGTCAAAAGAGCATAAAGTTTGTGTGTGGCCATAAACATAAACTAAAATACTATTAGAAGTGGAAAGCTGGCTGCTTCCTTACATATTTTCCAGCTTGCAGAAATGCACAATCATTTTGCCTTTTTATGTGCCGAGATCTTCTCGGTCACAAGGATTTGGTTTAGACTTTAAAGAGTGTCAAGGTTATATGGAATTTTATGGTATGTTCTATGATTATTTCACCTTTTCTATCTTATATGCAGATTTTGAAATATTGCTTTAATGGAAAGGTCATGGATTCTGTTTCAAGGACTTACCCTCGCCAAGCGATGTGCACTGGCATCTCGGCGTGCATCTGTATATTCCGATCCTATAATAAACTCGTGCGATTTATATGCTAATTCTGGACATTTTTTCCGTCGCGGCAATGGCGGCTCATTTGTCGGTCCTGCGGATAAGGAGGGGAAATCCAATCAGAAGTCGAATCGGAACGAGATCAATAAATAAGTCCGTGACAATAAGGCGCAAGACAAATGCCTTTTGTTACTCACCAACAAATTGACTTGGATTCGGGGCTGGTGCCCGTCGCACAACCTCTGGCCGCGAGTTGCCCGTAAATTCATGCCAACGATAAGTGCTCCGATATTCCGAGTGGAGCTGCTGAAAGAAAGGATAGATAGATATATGCATTAAGAATGGTACTAAATGTAAGGAAATATCACACAGTTCCCAATATAAAATCTATAATAATCACTTTAGTACCATAAATATTTAAATTACCATTTCAAATGTGAGGACATTAAATATAACATGGATTAAGGGACTCCCTTTGGACTTTCGCTTGCAACAAAAGTAGACAATGGACACTGTTTAACAGGGATATTAATTACTATAGCAAACGTATGACAAAAACCACAATGAGACCAACAAAAGCTAACCACTTCCACATATGGCCGCATGTAAATATTTTCATTCAGCCAGGGACAGACTTCGGGGCCCAGGGCTGTTGGCCAATTGGCCGGCCAGTTAGTCAAACAGTTTCGTTTCGGGCTCTTGGCCAAATTGCGGTTTGTCGCACATTTCAATGCAGCAAAATGTCCACCCACTTTCTCCATTGCAATCGCAATTGCAACTGCCACTGCAACTGCAGCCATTTGATAATTGCGACAATGGACAGAGAAAAATCCATATTAATGGCCCCATTTTCCACTGCAACAGTTACTCTTGCTGCCACTTGTCAGTGTGTGTTTGTGGCTGTGTTATTTAGCAACTTATTTTATGGCCACGACAACGCATATCGATCTAAGCCCAGGGACTCGACTGGGCCACTTCGAGCAGCAGTCGTTGCATGTAAGCTGTAAATTGGGTTAAGAGCTCGCACCCAAGCCGGCTAAGACAACGGCGGCGACAGTCCTGGCCAAACGACAGTCCAACAGACAGAAAGACAGACAGACAGACAGTTCCAGGACATTCTCGCGAAGCAGCCAAGCCAGTCGATTTAATTATGGCCAGACCAAAGTTCGTCCACCCAGCCCTAAGGAATTTACGTGAGTCTACCTGAGCTTAACTTTTCTTGGCTCGACGTCGTTTTCCGCTCCACTTTTGTTTCGGAAATAATTGCCGGCTTGCACGCAATGTCAAAAGACAGTAAACATTATATTAATTATTTAGGATTGCCATTTCCTTGGTTTAATTTTAATTTTTAAACAGATAACTGGGAGCTTTCGATTAAGAAGGGAAGGCTTTAATTCTTAAGCTCTGACTCAGAGATGTAGTGTGCTTAAACCAAGCTTAAAATTCTTGCTACTTTAAAAGTTAAACAATTGATTAATTTATCCAATATAAACCAAATAAACAATAACCCTTTAGAACAATTAACCCAATTCCGGGCAGGCTCCTTCAGTCTAGACGCTCTCCCATAAGCTAATTGCCACTCCAATTAAAGGGGGCCGTGGCAAATCATTTCTCGACAATCAATAAGGTTCACTTGACCGAAAGCCACACCCACTCCGCCCCTCTTTTCCATCGAACGCTATATTTCGGCGGCACGCACCTTTTGCATAATTTAGCAGTAGGAACTCACTTTACCAGAGCCGCTGGAGGAAGGCATCTGCCTACGGGGTTCGTTTGTCATATGAATTGGCAGTTGATGTCAGGGGCGTCGCCATCGTTCCCACCATCAGCAGGGGAGGAGCAGGGGTTCCGGGCTCCCAGCCACGTGGCATTGTTAGCCTAGGTGGGTACATTTACAACCCCATCCTTGGCAGCTGCAAAACTATTTATCATGTCATGCGTGGCGAGAAATAAAAACCCCACATATATTTCCCACTGATTTATGCTCGTGGTGGTCCAATTGATTGCGGTCACCAGATGCAGCCGCACCTCGGCATAAATATTTAAATATATTATGTTTCGGATTTTTCTTTTGGGGAGGGAGTCCATTAAATATTAATTCTATATGAAAGTTTAAATATGGTTTTGGCTTTTGGGGTCTGCCAAAATAAACGTATCAGCTTAGTGCGATAAAAGTTCGCCTTAAATTTCCAGAGAGACGCCAATCCCTCAGCTGGGAGACACTTTTGCATATCTCTCCGTCGGTGTGCCTGTGCGGTGATGCTGAAATCCTGATAAGCCTGCTGACATCTCAACTATCCAACAGCTGACAGTTGGGCGGGGTGTCATTGTCCTTCTGCTGCAGGAGCAGCAGCAGCAGCTGGTTGGAGAGGATTTTAATTAAAATTTTAAACACTGAAGAGTTTATGGCTTAAAGGGGCACGGCTTGGATAATTTCAAGTGATTTTTAATGGAGTTTTCAAGAGGTGAATGCCATTCAGGACGTAGTCCAATGGTCCAAATTGATGGTGTCCCTAACTAGCCTATAAATAAGGCACAAGCTGGCCCATATGATGGCAATCCTGTTTAGGTTATTCTGTATCCGATGCACGATGTATTGAAGATAGATTTATGGCTGGTAACTAAGTATTTTTCATAGCATACTTGCAAGCGTCAGTTTACACTGCACCATAATCCTGCCAGGACTCTGACCGCACAAGTGTGTGTGTGTGTGTGTGTGTGTGTGTGTGTGGAAGCAGCCGTGTGCGTGTTTAATCTACCCGAAGGGACCTTTCAAGTTTTATGCGGGCAAAACAAGCAAAATGACACCTCCAAGCATAGTTATCGCCACCGAGATCCTTGTTTTGCGGTCTAATATGTGTATGTGTTTGTGGGTATTTGTGCGCTCCTTTGAAGTGCCAACCACAGTTCCGGTGAACAAGAATATTTCTTTCTAGAATGCGTTTTCGAGGAGAGCTTGCAAAGTTTCTATAATCTGATATAAATATTGACTTCGATTTATTTAGCGTTTTGTTATTGAATATAATATACACTTTATGATTTCATTATTTAATACATTTTTGTATATCCTTGCAGCACATAATTTTAGTCAGATGATTATAAATCAGTGAAAAAGTCATTTCCGACCCTATAAATCATATATATTCTTCATCAGAATCAACACCCGAATCGATCTAGCTATGTCCGGTGCAAAAATAAATTGTTCAAATATTTTCCAAAATTTGAAAATTTTATAAGGGGTTACATCATTAAAATTGTCAAAAATTGGCAAAAAATTGAATTTTTTAAAATGTTAAATTGAGTATGCAGATTTTTTAACCTGATAAAAACTAGCTCAGAAACGACTTCCGAATGGAAATAAATGCATTTTTGGCTTTGTTATGATCGATTGAAAAATGGAAGAGAGCAGAAAATTCGGCTTAGATTTCCATTTAAAACACATAACCTAGTCATGTTCATTTGTTTATATTGTTGCCCCAAAAAGTTGAATAAAGTTTTATCATACCTTTAAATTGTTTCTTGTTTATATTTGTATTATTTATGCTGCAGCCCTCGCCATGTTTGTGTCAAGTTTTTTCATTTACTTTTTGTTTACGATGCATTTTTGCCATTTGACACCATTTTGTCTGGCAGAGACAACGCCATGTGTGCATGCGCCTGCTTTTATGGTTTCCGCCGGCCAGGCCGTCCAGGTCGAGCATACAAAACACCTGACCAGGTGGGCTGGCCACAGTGCCACCGCTCTCCGGTGCGTGCCTTTGTGCCACCGTGCCTCAGTTTGCTCGATTGCTCAACTAACGTGGCCGATGGGATGTTTGCTACCGTTTTGGCCTGCTTGGTCTGCGCCAGCAATTAATTCACTCAGCAAAAGGCCTGGGGCCGGTGGCAACTGGCAACTGGCAACTGAAATGATCCTTGTGCCCCAAAACTTAATTGCCAGCTGCATTGAAATGAGACACACCCGAAACATTCGTAAATCTGACTGACTGACGCAGATTGACGGTCAGCCGAGAGTCCCAGGATCCCACTTCTGATACTTTGGACGCAGACTCAAAACGAATTTACTGTCCAGTTTAATTTTCACGTAAGACGGTATTTTAGACAGACTTATCTCTGATTATAAGCAGATTTGAGTCATTTCGCTATTTTAACTTTGTGTAAGGTAACCTCCTGGTTTTATAACCTCTTGTTAGTTACCCACCCAAGCAAAGCCACCTTGACCCCCTGGTCGAAGGTCGTCTTCATTAAATTAAGGAATGGTGCTCATTTGCATGAGCGCCTTCTTTCCGCTCCCTCGGTTTTGCTTTCTGCCCATAAATATGGATTAAGTTTCCGTTCTAATAAAAGCAGAACAACATGCGGACACCATTTAATTAGTGGAAATTAACTTACAGTCGGAGTGAGAGTTTTTATTGGACATGTTTTCAATAATGTTGGTAATAAAATGCAGTAAGATTTTCCCATTCAATATTAAATTCGAATGCACTTGGTAACCCAACTTAATTGCTCCAAAACTTTCCAATTTTAGTTTTCACAAATTAAATTGATTGCACGCTGAAAAGTTGGTCTGCCCTTCCCCTAAACGCCTTCGCGGTTTCGCCACCCTTCCCCGGGGAACTTTTCCACAAAACTCGCACCGAGTTATGCAACAATTTAATGTCAACACACAATTACGTGCGAAAAGAGCGCTGGCGAGGCTTTCATTAAATTCAACGCGTCTAACGAGTTGTTTGCTCTCAACCGAAAGTCAGACGCTTAAGGAGACCGACAGACAGACAGGAAGCAGGAAAAAGGAAACAGGAGCAGAGAGAGCACACTGTATAGGCGACAGCTGAAAAGTCATTTGTATGCAGCCGCAAATCGAGGGACATTAAACTTTTAAGACGCTTTTATTGCTCGTGGTCTCCACCTCGTCCTCTCTCCTCGACCACATGCTCCACTTCGTCTGCGTCCTTTTCAATTCTAATCCTTGTACCTTCGTAAGGCTCTGGGGCTCTCGCCTGGCTTTGATTTGTCGGCTTAGCGCTGACATGGCTGTCAATGTGTGCGCCTGATTTATATGGCCCAGTCCATGGACAAATCTCAGTCAAATTGCTTGTGGCACTAGCAGAGCCAAAAAAGAAGAAAAACAATCCCCACTTTATAAATTCAACAAAAGTCCACGGGACTCGGTATTTTTTCTAAAGTTCATTTTATTTCACTCAGCAACACTAGCCAGCCAGACAGCCAGAAGTAACATAAATTGTATGTTACGAAAACATGTGCTCCCAGGCACGTTTTGTTAAAGGGGACCAAAAGGAAAA